GATGGAAGCAGCACAGCTGATGTTTCTCTCCAGGATGGAGTCACAGCCAAACAGGAACAGACCAGATGAAGCTACTATGAGCAGAACGTTAGAGATTGAACTAACAGATTATGCAGAATTGGAGAATAGAGATAGAATGATGAAATGGGGGTCCCTATGTCCTCCAAAAGTCTAAACCTATAGCAGCATAACTATAGCGATAGCTCAGGATGGGAAATGGGTGGCCAGGTGTCCTCATGTTCAGTTCAGTAGTCGTGGTTCTCCCACTCACTTGTGATTTACTGTTTGCAAACTCACCACTATGCCTCATTCTTCATGTTACTGTGTTTCTCCTGGATGCCACAATGTGCAGGTTAGCAGCTTGGATGTTTTTGGTCCTCATCAGATCAGGTCAACCATCGGATCAGCTCCTAAACTGAAGCTTTTTATTCTACATCAACAAATGTGGGCTAAATGTATTACAGGCAAACAGAGCCTGAATTCGAGCAACTTGAAGTGCAACTCACCCCAAAATCTACTTATATGCGTTTAGCAGACCATGGGGAGCTATTTTAATGCTACTGTGTGGATTTTTTTAGTTCTGAAAAATTTGTCTCAAAAAAGGCCTCAATGCTGCTTTAAGTGGTTTTCCCGTAGCTATTGCAGTTGAATATTACAGCATCCCTCTGCTAGCGGTCAGTTTTCCAGGGTGGATATGAACACAGCATTGCACGCACAAGAGTGAGATGACATCAGAAGCTGCTACAACAGTAAACAAAGCTAGCATGGTGCTGACTATATTTTTCTGCTATTTTTAAAAAATCTGATTGGTGAGAATTAAGTAATTAACCCTACACTTTAAATAGTCGCAGATGTTAGTTGGCTGCCATGGGGTACAAAAAGAGGTTTTAAAAAGGCTACATTTCTATATTGTGGAGCTGTGGTATAAACCTTAACAAGAGCAAATAAGTAGTTTATTGTTGTAGCTGAAGCTGCATTTGTAGCATTGTTAGATTTTGAGTTAAAATATTTCCATCTCTTCAAAGTAATTATTATTCCTTTTGAGGTGGGTACAAAAAAGTTCATTTCTATTTCCTGTTCTTTCCTTAAATAGTAAAAAAAATGCCAACCATCAAATGTACTTTAAGTTTAGATCATATGTAATTGTTGCTGTTTTTCAGTTTGCTAACAAGACTTTCATTAATAGTATTACGACGTTTAAAAGATAAAATATGTATATATTTCCAGAGCTCAGGATCACTCTCGCTAAAACTGTGAACTTTATCACCAGCTTTGGTATTTAGGGTGTTTTCTCTTTGTTCTCGTAAAGGTTCTGCTGTGTGTTACACATCTCAAGCTGCTGGGTTCTTCTAGACCTCGCGTGACAGACCTTACATAAGCTGGAGTCATAATGCGTGCAGCGGTATTTACCTACAGCTATGCATTTGACAAGAGTTTAGACCAGACCAAATTCAATTTGGCTCAGACCTAACTGCCAAGGAACGGACCCCAAATTACATTGAAACACTGGTCTCCTCTAATCAAATCCAGCAGTAACGTTCAGGAAACGTTCCAACACTCTCGGTGAGTCATCAGGACAAACTCAGGGATTTTTGAAAGCTGGAGAAAACAAAACAAAAAAAGGAAATATAGAAAATAA